AATCAGTGTGTGACACAAGCGCAAGACAACGACTCGCTTCCAGCCGTTTGGCGCCCACCACGCACAAGCCGCATAATGCACAGCGTTCGTTGAGTGCCAGCTTAGCGTTGTGTCTGTTCGTCTGTCGGCCTGTTGCGTTGCCGTTGTGGTTTGACAAGTGAACTTTGCACGCAAAGCAGTCAGATCGGCGGCATATTCGCTGTGTATGTTATCATATTGTCCATGGCTGAGATCGCGCACCAGCGTTGAGCACGCGTTGATGAGCTATTCCTCGTGATGACCGACAAACTGAGCGAGGCTGAACTTGTCGCGCTATTGTCCACTCGTCTTTCGGCTGCTGCGGACGTCTTCTGAACAGCCCTGCTTTTCTTCTACGCCAACGAAGTCTTCGGTGTGTTCTCAGCGCACTCAGAGCGTGCTGTTCTATGTGACGTCCCGGTGATCCTCCGCCGGACCCGCAGACACTTTACAGCATATTCAATCATCAAGAGGTGCCCACCAGCGATGAAAACGCGTTTCCATTCTAACGGGCACTCGTGGTGCTTGCAAGCGAGAATATTGTGCCGATGTGTGCGCGAAAATTGTCACCACAGTCACAAACATGTCCCATTCTCCGTGCACCGCGAGCACATGCTCAGATACGTTCACATCGCGCATTATGCAATCAACAAATGCGCTGATCTGACCACATAACAATCACAAATGCGATCAACGAGGACGAATCTCTCCGCTCGTCCATTTGGCACGCGAGCTGCCCTCAGCAGGCGGCTGCCTCTGCTCAGGCAGCGATTGGTTTCGCCCCCCCCCCCCCCCCCCACTCGCGCACCCGAGGCGGAGAGCCGGGCCACCGCCGCCGGCCGTCGCCGCCTCCGCGGCTGGACACCCGAAGCGACCACACGTTTGTCCGCCTCCTGTAGAAAGCTCACTGCCGCATACCTGCATTGCACTAATATTTTTCGTACATGCGTTTCCTAGCAAGCGCTGTCAGCGGTGTCAGAAATAGTGCTGCCGAATTGGTCCAGCTATTGATGTTCTGGCAGAAATGTTTTACGTCACGAAACTCAGGGACGACGAGAAATAGATTCATGATATCATTTTGTCAATACATTTACATTTTCTGTAGCTCTGTAAATAGCTTTCAAGAACAACGAGACACATCGCTTTGGGGCAAGAAACCTCAGGCCACTAAAACCCACATTGTCGAGCATATCTTGGATGCAAGTGATGGAAATGCAGCGAAACTTCCCCAAATATTTCGCGTTTGCTTCTTTCTATTGTTTCTATGCATTCTTTTTCGTACGTCGTTTGGGCGTCAACAGAGTCGGCTAATGGTCATGAGATCACCACGTGGTCCAGGGGCTTAAGACCGCATTTCGTCAAGTGTCTCCACTTTTCGGGCCGCGGACAAATCGCAGCTGAGCCCACGAGATGATGCATTGCTCCTTTCTCCTTCTCGCACGTTTACCTTACTCTGCCCTAAAGACATGGATCCCAACAAAATAGCACGTCACGCTAATAAAAATTCCGCGGAACGCAGGCCTCTTTGAAGGATTTCGGAACATGCAATATCTTCATTCCCACTCCCAATTTCTGATTCCCTTTTGTCACCCAGTTCTCAGATACCGAAGGAAAACATGAAGGCATATTAACCTAAATGTACTGCTGTAAATGTGCCCAAGGTACCCACACCAGGAGATAATAAACACTTAGACCTAGATTTAGACTCAGTTGCATTCGTATAGTACATTCAGACTCCGTAATGGTTACCGTGCCCCAGGCTGGTCAATCGGATGCGTATTGAAACGTCCAGAGTTCATAAAGTCCAGTGGTCAAAAAGTCCAGAATCGCAGCATCCAGCGTTCATAATGTCCAGAAATCGTCCATGCCCCTGAACAGAGGAAAATCATAAAGTCCAGGCTCGCAGCGTCCAGTGCTCATGAAGTCCAGCGTGGGTGAGACCCACGCGTTGGGACACTGTCCCACTTCCTCACAACCCTTCAACTAATGGTTCGGATATTGCCCGATAGAAGGCTACCGGAGCTTATTTCGCCCGCCCCAGCCGACAAGTGACGTCATGCGGTACAGTGCTGTCAAGTGAAACCACTGTGCATGGCTTTGGACAACGTTTTGTTCGAGCGTACCAACTTTGCCGCGTCAGCGCGCCTTTGGCAGCAGGTGAATTGAGGAATTCAAAACTTCCTAGTTCGTGGCATCGGAATTAGCTGGTTGCTCGGCAGTAGCTGCACGGCCGTCGTGGAAAGCGATTGCCGGTGTGCCTGCTGTTTGCTATTGTGGGCTATTGATAAAATTCTCTGCGGTGTTTGATTCCGTTGTTTACTGTATGTGTTGGTGACGTTTTTCATTTTTTGAAGGAATTGATGACTGCTGTGTAAAGCGGGCTGATTCGATGTCTGCTCCAGGTAGGCGCGCATATAGATCTCCAACTTCTGGCACGCTAGCCCATATTGTTAGTGGTTTCATTTGGATGATTCCCCTCCCTCCCCCAAATTGCAAGTTCTTTCACACGCTCCTGCAAATGGGACTTATTCTGAATTATACATGCCCTTACTCTCCAAGAGAGGGCGTGCGGGCTGTATCATCAGCTGAATCCGGATACTACTCCCTGGTGAGACACGTTCGACGGCTCTGCCTACAAACATTTGGTCTCTTCAATCACGTACGTTGTAAACGGGCGTGGTTTATCGAAATAAGTCGGTTGGCTGAGCGATGAAAATACAACGCAGAGTACCGCGATGATATGCCAACAAATTAGTTTCTTTCCGAATCCTCTCCGAAAAAAGAAAGTAAAAAAGCAAACGTTGACTGCGAATGTATTCAGCTGCCTTTCAAACATTACGCAAAATGTCACGCGCCACCTTCCTTCTTCCTCTCCGAAAAAAAAGAAAGTAAAAAAACAAACGTTGACTGCGAATGTATTCAGCTGCCTTTCAAACAATACGCAAAACACTACGCACGCGCCACCTTAAAGGCACTGTTAATTCGCCATCTGAACAGCGGAGCCGAGTGTATCTCAATGAGCTGGTTTGCGATATATAAGCTGAATGAATTGGGAGAATCGTGAGCTCGTATTCGCCATCCACTCCATCGATCTTGATGCGCTTTTTTCCTTTTACGCTTCAGAGCGTAAAATGTGCATACGCATACGCATTACGCTCCTAAGTATAGAATTTGGGGTCCGGCAACACCAGTCTAGAGTTTATCGAGACCGGTGCCGTTCGCGCCGCAGAGGGGCGATGGTGGCATGGTGGTTAGTGGTCAGGGTGCTCATCTCTGGATTTTTGTATCCTGGTATGGAGTCCTGGTCACATTACCACCGCATCCCACGTACGTAATGCCTGATAAATACGTAATAGAATCGTTCGGCCTCGAAATAGCCAGACGTAAAGCCCCAATCGGTATTACAGACCGTCCCGGCAAACAAACCGCCGCCCGCCAAATCTGCAGACAATGCACCCCCTCAATCACTGTAAATATGTGAGAACAATAATGTGCAATCGGTTGGACGCAAAGCTCGGACACACAGACCAGCCCAGAGGCTGCCCAGCTGGACGGGCCGGCGGGCAAAGCAGCCCGGCCGCCAAATAAGGAACGCATTCACGCGCGCGCCGTCCCTCGCCCGAGAGCGGAACCCCGCCACACGCGCGCGAGGCCTGTGCGTGGGGAAGCCCGTCCGCGGTCGAAACACTCAAGAACACTCAGTCGGGGACGCCGCCATCTTTGCGCCAGAGCCCGAGGCCCCTGATTCGGTTTCACTCGATTCGCCGCGGTGCACATCTCGGCGGACCGGACAGCCGGACGTGTCGGATACCTCGGGATCTCGCTCGTGCTGGACCGGAGCCACCCCCCCCCCCCCGCTCCTCCTTTTCTTGACAGGCGCCTTAATGGAAGGGCCTCGTGTCAGTCAGGAACCAGCACCGGACAGGGTCCCCTGCCCGTTTTCTCTTGAGCCCAGATGCGTCGAACTGGGATCCCTGTGCCATTTATTAAACCCGCTACGGTTGGGGCTTTTTGGGTCGGTGAGTGGCCCCGCGTTGACCCAGGGTCAACCATCCCGGTCAGAGTGCCTTCGGCGTCAGATAGAGGACCAATGTATCATGTGCATTAATAGTAACCAATTGTAAATCTGAAATGGGACGGAAAGGTCCTTCAGCCCCAATCGGGAGATGCATGGGGTCTCAAGTCTTGGCTGAAAATTATTTTGCGGAAAATTATATTCTGGCTGCTGAAGTGGGGGGGGGGGGGGGGGGAGGGAGGAGAAGAGCGGGGGTCCAGGGGCCAGGAGGGCGAGGGGTTTACCACTCACTACTCCCATTAGGGCAGATCAACCCTGCATCCATCATGACAGCGCTCCCCATAAAGCTACAGGATATTTGAAGGGATTGAACGAGTTCACACTTTTTATTGTAACCTTTCGTATTGTTTTATCTCCAGTAAAAAAGCGTACCGGTCCGGGATTTTGTGCTCGTTGTGCTCAGGACATTACACTGCATCTAGGTACAAAGTTTCAGGCTAATTGGAGGGGTCAGGAAATTGTGGGGAAATTGCGCTTCAGTAGTGTTTTGATTTTTTTCCTCTCATTGTTAGTGCAAAAATTGAATCAAATATTTGGTGACAAGTTGATGCATTCTAAGAGACACACTCAATTATAACGAAAGTGCTGTTCACCGGGACGTCAGTAATTTTGTTGTCAAAAACCGTTTATCCTGGTCAAAAATTTAGCGTTGGCTTAATTAACTTACGCTGAATTATTTCAAGGACATTGTTTTCTCGGGAGGTCAATAATCCAGTTAGAAGAAAATTATCAATCTGAGTCATAAAACTTTAGAAGCTGATTTGGCTGCGAGATTGTCATCATCTTTGGTGTGAGCCTGGCGCAGTTGTTTCATTTGCGACCGAAAGCATTGTGGAGGTTAAACAAGTTGTTCCTCTCGCGTATGTCTGGGAGGTACTGTAATGGCACGCGTTGTGATTAAGTGAGACTGCCGTTTCCGTATTCAGTCACTAAAAGATCCCATTGGTTCCAAGTCTGCCACAAATTAAGCCCCTGTGCTGGACGCCTTCGAGACGCCGGTTGCGCTCAAATCCCCCCTCGCCCGCTACATACGCATGCCGGCCAAATTGCGCTGAAGTTTCAAGCTATTTTTGCGTGAGCAATGCTTGTGGAGTATTTTCACCTACAATTATCTGGCCAAAAGAATAAGTATGTATTTCTCACACTCTGAGTCGGAACTATCTAAAAGGGGATATTTAATGTTTGTATGGAGTTTTGAGCTGAAATAACCACCTCAAACCATTTGTGGACCATCAGACCATTGGTGGGTGCCGCAGCCCTGCCTTTCTGAAGCCCTAAATGCCCCTCATTTCTGAGCTTCATACATATCAAGATCTGCAGACTATTTCAAGATTACTGAGGCATCCATTTTGTCACAATATGATTTTTGAAATATTGTGTTCAAGATTGACCATACTCAAGGTCAATAAAAATATTGTTTTGGTTGGGCCCTTCATATCTGTCATTCATAAGCATAATTACAGGTAATGGCTGTCAATTGGCTGTTAGTTAACATTGTGCCAGGTACAATGACATTGATCAAAAAATGAAAACATCTGTATAGGAGCATTTACACACAGCTATATACATATATATATATAGATATAGATATATATATATATATATATATATATATATATATATATATATATATATATATATATATATATATATACATATATATATATATATATATATACTGAATAGATGACTTATTATACTTAGAGCAGTCTTTTTTGGTGAGAAGTAGACTGTATGCCATAATTGAGGTTTTTTAATCATCTGATGCTTGCTTTATTATCTTGAGGTATGGGACATTTCCTTCTGTAAATGATTTTGTATATGTGCATAAAACTGGTAATCAGAACCTACTGCAAATTTCTGCTTGAAGTAAGACTGCATCCTGACTTACCAAATGACTCAAGAAATCAGTACTGGTTCTTTCTAAACACAAGCTGGCAGGGGAAGCATGTTCTGAGCTTACACATCAATAAAGCCATGGTTGGGTAATTGTGACAGCCAGTGATTGAGTAGCCCAAACCATATAATGAATGATAGCATCTAAAGCAACCATGCTTTTGGGCTACCGTGTTGTATGAATTTAAGCACAACAATTTATTTGTGCACCATCCATGTGATGCTTCAAGGCTTATACTGAAAAGGTACTGCATGCTCGGCAGACCAACAAATTGTTCATCAGCACATCTGACTGTCATTCTCAGGGATCTATGTCATTGCATGTTCAGCCTTTATGATTGAATGCAGTTATTCAGGAGATAGTTATCCTGGTGTGCATTTTTCACTATAAAGTCATCTACAGTGCCTAATTTTGAGCCTGAATAATGTTAACACCTTTGAGTTGCATAGAGATATGACATCACATAGATTAGCTCTTGTGAAAGATGTTGGTGCATGCAGAGTTGATATTAAAAAATAACTTGACACTTGATGTTTTGGAGTTATGTTACATATGGGAAGACTTTTGCCTTTGGATAGCAGAAGATGGCAAAAGCCATTCTTGGGGCAGTATGTGAGCAGTTGCAGTTTGTCAAGAGCTGCATAGCATGAGAAAGGTTGAGATTTGCCCATTATATAGCTTATTTAGATTTAGCATCATCCTCATTGAAGCTAATTTGCTGGTACTAGTTTATTGCTCACCATGCATATCTTTTCTTTCAGGTAGATCTCCATGCACAGTATTGGTCATCCACATCACATGTACATACATATAGTTGCTATATACAACTAACCTCAAGCTTTTGAACAACATGGAGTTCAAGGCTGTCATACTGGCAGGTGGCAAGGGCTCACGCATGACAGACCTGACCTGCCAGATGCTGAAGTGCCTGCTGCCCATCGGCGGCCTACCGATGCTGTGGTACCCGCTGCGCCTGCTGCAGGACGCCGGCGTCAAGTCAGCACTGGTCGTCGTCTCAGAGCAAATGAAAAACTTCCAACGCGAGATCTGCAGCGTGCCGCAGCAGTACGAGCTGGACATCCAGCTGGAAGTGCCGTTTGTGGTGGAGGGCGAGGACCCGGGCACGGCCGACTCGCTGCGCCAGCTGCGCGCGGCGGATCGACTGCGCGCCAATACGGACCTGATCGTGCTCAGCTGCGACTTGGTCACGGCCTGCCCGCTGCGCCGCCTGCTCAACGTGCACCGGCTGGAGGCGGCCGCGCTCACGGCCCTGTTCGCGGCGCCGCCGGTCGAGCCCGACTCCGTGACCGTGCCCGGGCCGAAGACGCGCCACAAGCCGGAGCGCGACCTGGTCGGCCTGGCCGAGCCGGGGCCGCGGCTGTGCCTGCTCGCCTCCGAGGCCGACTTTGAGGAGGAAATGGCGCTACGGCTGGCGCTGTTGCGCCGCCACCCGCGGCTCGTCGTGCGCCGCGACCTGCTCGACGCGCACCTCTACCTCCTTGGGCCGGGTCTGCTCGACTTCGTCGCCAAGAGCCACGCTCTCACCTCGGTGAAGGGTGAGGTGGTGCCGCAGGTTATCCGCGCGCAGTACCGTCGCCCGCGCGCGCCCGCCGCCGACGACCAGACGGACCGCCCGCCGGCCGCCGCTCGCTCTGCCAACGATTTTTTGCAGCCGGCGCGCTTCGCTGCGCTGGAGAAGCCCTTCGCCGAGCCGGAGGAGGCGGCCGACGCAGGCCGCGCCACTTGCTTCGCGATGACGACGCCGGCACGCACGTGGCGCGCCAACACCACGGCGGCGTACCTGGCGGCGAACCGCGCGGCGACGCGGCTGTGGGCGGAGCTGCCGGAGCCGCGGCCGGCCCGGCTCCACCCGGAGGCTGTCATCCCGACCGTCAAGGTCCGAGCTGCGACGAGCTGGGGTCCAAGGAGGAGAGGGTCTATGGGCAGGGGGGGGGGGGGGCTCTGGGAGTCAGGGGAATCTGGCTCCGTGGAAGGAGCCGACGAAGGAAAGTGCAGCTTGGGAGGGAGAGTTGAGGAACGCACGCGCTCGGGGCATTGACTTGGGGCGAGGTGGGCCGTGAGAAGCTTAATGTTAACTCCTTGGTGATTCGCCGAGAAAGTGACTCAATGGTTTTGATCGACCGCTTCTGGGCCGTTTACACGCCTCAGGCCCGAGGAGCTAGCGTCAGTAAGGGAAGCGCTGGAAAGCCTAAACCACAGCACAAACGGGCTCGGGAAAGAGGCGAAGGCGTCGGAGGCCATTGTCGATCGGGCTCGTCGCTTGTCGGCGAGGAATGTCTGGAAGCACAGCGTGTTCTGTTTTGTTCGGGCTGTTCTGAAATACGGTACGGGTTCCATGCCATGGGATAGATTCTATTGTGCTGCAGTTTTCCGACTGATACCTTCGATCGCAGACCACCTCCGGAAATTCCGGCTTTCCGGAATTCTTTGCTCCGCGGACCGTCCTTTACATCCTTGGAAAATGTTATCGAATACTTGGTGACATGTTCATATTTGTCGTCACTGCCCCCGAGCGTTCGTCACCATCGCCACTGCACTGACTCCCGCCTTGCGGCCTCAGGTCCAGATCAGCGACGACTCCGTGGTCGGCGCCCAGTCTCAGCTCTCAGAGAAAACCACCCTCGAGCGCACGGTCGTCGGCCGCCACTGCCAGCTTGGCGCACGCGTGCGCCTCGTGGACTGCATCGTCATGGACAACGCGCGCGTACACGACGACTGCACCCTCATCAACTGCGTGCTGATGGCCAGCGGTGTGGTGGAGGAGCGCTGTCAGCTGCGCGACTGTTTGGTGGGCGTTCGCCAGACGGTGGCGGCCGGTTCCAGCCTGAACAGGGAGATTGTGTCGCAGCGCGGCAGCGACATGGAGGTGTGAGGCTGGATAGGGCGGCTCGCGGTGGCTCGCGGCGGGCCGGATAGGACTGGGAGCGACGCTGTGCTGGGGGAGGGAAGAAGACCGGCGATGAGAGGTGGTCGTGGAGAGCCCCGCGCGTTTCTGTGCTCGTGTGTTTTGGCTGCGACTGACTGACCTGTTAATGGACGGATGGACCGACTGAACGCGTTCTTTAATGAGCGGCTAGCGGCGATGACTGCGGGTGGCGTGCTGCCGGTGGACACATGCTAGACAATATATTTGCAGACCTCAACACTACGCATACAGCTGCCAGTTAACGCAAGATCTGGAACTGCTGCAGCTGCTCTGGCTGATGACTTGGAGGCGGCTGAGGGGAGGGCAGGGAAAGCGAAGTGGACTTCGAAGTGGAATGCTTTTGATGTCTCGTGCTGCTTATCGGTGCTGCCGTTGAGGTGCTTTGACTATTCGGTGGTACTGGGAGCTCCTGTGTGGCATATAGCATGTTTTCAAATAAAACTACAAGACACGATTACCTGTGGTTAGGTGCAGACAGTTGTACGTCTGCCGCACGATCAGTACTCCATATCATTATCTAGAATGCTCCTTCGTTTGCTGCTGGATGATGCACCCGGCATACGTTTATAGTCCGCCATTTAAGTCTCCACATCGTTGCATCAGGCTTACATGCTCCAATCAGTTAACGCAGCCAGGAACTCTGTCGAGGCTGGCGGATCCGGAGGGCGATGCAGATACATCCAGTGGCAGTCGAAGTCAAGTGAAGTTTTTTCTCATGTGGCCTTTTCTGTTGGGCACGTTTACACATCTGGGTATGGTTGAATGTTGAAAGACCTTCGTAACCAAGCTTTTTCTTCCTTTTGGGTTCGCGCCATAAGAAGACTAGCGTCAAACAAATGATACAGACACAAATTCGTGCAACCTATGCTCGATCTCTCCATTCTGTTGTTCGCATGGTGCCGCTGTCATTTGGCTGTCTGCTGTTATTTGGCTAGCTGTCATGCCATCTTGCTGCCATTTGGCCCTGGTGAAAGGAGTTTTTACGGAGGTGACAGACGTATCATCAACATATTGGTGACTGTTGCATCCACAGTCCGTAGCTATCTGGGCCACCGAAGAAACATTGGCGATTTCCCAAGGATAGCGAAGAGGGCCCCTCCATAAGCGGGGGTGCGACTGGAGAGGACTAGGACGGCGCGCATCAAGCCCAGAACTGCGCATTCGAACATGACATGGTCTTCACACGCGTTCGACATGGATTGGAGGTCTGACCAAAACTTGATTTTGAAACAATTTCTCGACCCGGATAGGCCCCCAGTGTCAGCTTCCGGCCAGGAAAGCGCCACAGGCTCGGAGGCTGAACGACGTCAGGTCCGTGTAATGCACCTCCTGCTTTCGCTCTTAGAATATTAGTAAAACGCCAACAGGATGGCGTGGAGTTGGGTGGCAATTGCCGCGCATGGTTGGTGCTAGGAAACAGGCTGTTGGCGTCCGCTGATTAATTATAGCGCTGTAGTCGGCCCCTCTCACACCACCCGAGGGCTCAGGTTCATAACTGCGCCGTCAGATGTCGTCACAGGCGACTTGTGGTGGGCGAATACAAATCACAACACACCCAAATCATAACAACTCATTGGGAGGCTTGTTGTAATAATCAGCAAACATGTCACAGTCAAGTGAAACCGCGTGGTCGTCATTCACGAAAAAAGCACATTGCAACACAATCCGTTGCAAATGTAACACAGTTCACCCACAGCCAAACGCGCCGGTCATATTATGCATGCTCATCACACATGCAGGCACATTTGCCCACCTATTACCGCATTTTGCATGATTCTCTGGGACACCTGTAAGCATGTTCCGACATCCAAACAAACAGCCACACCAGCGTCGGTTTTGGCAGCCCGCGCGGACCGCCTCCGCACCGAGCTCCTGCGACACACGAGTCCGCAGCACCTGGGAGGCGCCGCCCCGCCCCGCCCCCAAACCTGCGGGGGGGGGGGTGCCTCAGAGCAGAAGACCCCTAGCGGGGCACTGACGCTTGGGGGTGCGCCAACGGCCGCCTGCTATTTCTGCGCTCGCGGTGTGAGGCGCTGCTGGGTGGCGCTGCATCTCCTTATGAAGCGCCCGGGCCCTGCGCAGCGCGGCCGCTCGGATAAATTAGCCTCGTTTTCATGGGCGCTACCGGGGCGCGTGTGCGCAGGTATGCATGTTCTGGCACGCGGGCGTTGTTTGTAAATAGCCCCCGGCCATGGGATGGGAACGTGCCTTCGGAGAGAAAGAAGCAGCGGAGAGAAACCGCGCCATCGGCCCCCACGGTGCCGCGCGCGGATGCCGTCGAACCAGTTCGGCCGTGGTTTTCTAGAAAAAGGACGAGGTCTGATCGCCAGAACACTGAGATTTGTGGTTTCTCGCCGCGGTTTTCGCACCAATTTCGTGTGAACCATCAGCACGTGGTTTGGTGTGACGAGTTAGCACCTTGCCACCTTTTCGCAGCATGCATCTTTACGCAGTCTGTGAGCACCAACTTAGAGCCCCAGCTTGCTCAGTACCGCAACAACCGCACGGCGGCGATCTTCAATTTCGTGTCTTTAGGAAACTGACCTATAATTTCAGCTTGATTTTAGGGTATAATATTAACAGAATCCAATCTAATATACGATGTGGTACAATAGCATGTAATATGCTGTGATATTGTACGATATAATACAATGTTGCATAACATAGTATAATCTTGCTTAACATCACATAATATAACAATGAATATAATATTGGAGGCAATAATAATAGTCACGCATAATTTTTTGACTTTGCGGGCTATATCACCTTTAATGATGCTACTATCAAAAGTCCATTTCTACATCTGCGTCATGTTCAATATTTGCATTGATCCAAGTGGTCAGCTGTTGCATCCCACGGTAATCTGAAAGATCAATATATATATATATATATATATATATATATATATATATATATATATATGTGTATATATATATATATATATATATATATATATATATATATATGCAAACGTATATATATATATATATATATATATATATATATGCATATATAAATGGAAACAATATACATATATATGTATACACATGCATCTTCCCTATCTGTCTATCTATCCATAAGACACATCTCCGGGATGGTGGTTTGGCCTCAGGTCGCCGTGTCGCGTGTGAAACGGCTGCGTGCGTGAGACAGAATAATTTAAGTACCAGGTTAAGGATGCTCAAGAGCGAGACTAGAGTGAGCAGCTGGGTGTGATGATGGCTTTAGCGGGTCACTGGAGGACCCAGTCAACATAACAGTAAGTCATTTCTCGAAGGATCACTGTGATAGCGGAACTACACACCAGCAATGAGCCACCCTTGCTGGATCCACAACCGTCAGAGGCTGCGGGTACACGTCGTCTGTTGACACAGTTGACTGACGCAACAGAAGCAGAACGAGAAACCTACGCCATGTATTGCTGGAAATATGCCTTAGCATTGTGGGAAATGAGCGCCTCGTGGTATTCGGCCTGCGGCCCGGTCAATGGACCAGCACGCGCCAGACTACGCTCAAGGTCTTCACCCCGACCGCTATCGCAGGTGCCGCCGGACCGGTCCGTCCCGCGGGCCGACGCTCAAGGCCGACGGCTGCCCGCCCGGGGGACGGGCCCGCGCCCGACACTAAGCGGCCCACGAGACCTGCGCTCGGCACGGACACCGCGCTATCGGCATCGGACAGAAAAACGTTATGACTATCGGACAGAGAAGCGTGCGTTGCTACACGACCTGGGGCGCAGGAGCCGCGCGTCACGACGCGTCACCGGCAGACCGGCATGGCAGCCGCGTCACGCGCGCCTGGCAAACAATTACCCGCACCACGTCGACTTCGGGGGAACGGTTGGGGGCTTTTCAATCCGCATAATGAGCTTAGTTTTTGCAATTTCGGTCACTTTTCTGCGAGGACTGCCGAGGTGCCGGGTCGCCGGTGCTGCTGCAATCGTGTCCTCCACCGCGCTCTGCAATCATGTAAAGACGTATGCCTTTCATCCCGGACTACCCGGACGAAGTACCTTTTATGTCATTATCTAGGTGTTGGGTTTCATTCTTATGCGTTGTAAATGCCCCATTTTGCTCTGCCTTACCGACACGCTACCTTTACGTTTAGCAGGCTTCGTTATATGGCGATAATGTATAACAATCGTATGAACGTGCTTTAATCTGTTTCATCACTCGGATGTAAAATCAGCCAGTAGCAGGAATGGAAATAGCGGAACGATGCATGAACAATTGCAACAGCATGCGCAAATACCGGCATACATCCGGCCTTTTTCGGGGGAAGAGGAAATCATGGCTTCACGACATTCGGAAGGGGCAGCCCCCCCCCCCCCCACCCTCTTCCTGGATCCACCCTTTGATTCGAGTCGCTTTTAGCGTTCGCTATTTGACCTTGACGGCTGGCTTGCGGCCGGTGGCGGCGGCCATACTAAAGGCCAGATGACGTCAAAGGGTGAGACGGACCATGCCGGGCATTGCGGCACGTTGACCTTTCGCCACCAAACGCTGCCGTTGACCAGCGATTTCACGATCGGATGGTGGGGGTCAGGGCTCACGCGATAAGCAGTGCTAAGCGTTAGCTCCGGCGATCCCAGAAATCCATCCGTTCAAGGGACTCGGATAAAATGTCTTTAATAAATGGAATGCAGATTACAAGTTCCATGAGAGGCTATAAGTTAGGCTCGATTTAAAGAATGACGCCAAGTTCGAAAGAGGTACGTTTTGATTTAAAATGGCTATTTCCCAATGTGACGCGGGTCGGTCTGCCATGGTGATCAGTGAATGAAAAGTCCGCAACATGACGATCGAGACAAACGCATGGCACCAGCATGAGTCTTTCGCGGCGTGCGACGAACAAGATGGCTTCAGACACGCCGGTCAGCATCATGTGGACGTAGATGTAGATATACAAATGCAAATGTGGACGCATGTGCCAGGAGGATTGTAACGAAATGTAGGCGAGTGAAGCCCACCGCTTTGGAGATGGTATACAAATAGGTATAAGTGGTGAGCGGGAGCATACTACATTGATGAGTATAACAAGAAGAGATCCACTTATGCTCACCGTTCCTGCATCAGTTACCTACAAACGCTGCTGCCCGAGAAAAAAACAACGTTAAACTCCTGATGAGCGCGGATAAATCTGGTCTTGGCATGTCCTGGCAATTTTAACGGTTGAAATCAGTGAATTGGGAACGGTCTGAATTTTCGGCGACTCTGGCGAGAGCGCTATGAAAAACGTCGATATTGTGGGCAGGTGTTGGTCGTGAAGATTTAGACTGATCGCCTACTCAAAAGCCTCCCTTAATTTTTGGTCCCGGCGCACTGCACCCGCGTGCGGTTTCGGGACGGGTGGCAACTCTGCGGAGGCGGACCCGAACCAGGCTGCCTCTCGGTGCGGTTGGCTGGCATACACTATGGGTCGGACAGCGTTGAGAGCGTTTAGAGATTCACAGATGGCACATCCGCCTACTGGATTCACGTCTGGTTGCCGAGTTCTGCCTCACCTACCCACCCACCAATAAACAAATTAACAGGTGGATCAGCTGTTAGCGCGCGCGCGCCAGCTACACGCTTCAGTGATCACCTCAAGCAATTCCGTCAGTCCGTCCGCTCCGACCCCCCCCCCCCTTCGACAAAATGTGCTGGTATCGTGGCGGTGTGTGACGTGAGACCAACCCATAGCCCACAACACACGTGAAACTAACACATAAGTGCGACTTTGTCTCAAACTGACAGCCTCACGCTGAAATGCAGCCGCCAGGTTGTGACTTTTGGTTCTCCTACTGGCAATGTGATAAGGATTATATGCAATGCGTTAAATACTGACGTAAACACGCCACGCAGCTCAATCCCAGCATCATAAGAACGCACATGGTGAGTTGCGTGACGCGTGACTTGCGTCAACCCAGCATCTAACATGAAGGTACCTCGCGTAGTGTAGGTTCATTTACTTAGAGTCAGGAATTAACAGCTTAGAATAATGTCAGCCACTTATTCTTTTTAAGCCTCCTCAGATTAAAAAACAGAAACATTCTACTGTGTGATTGAAGCCATCCAAGTCATTGTGTAGGCCATGCAGTCTTATGACATGTTTTTCATATCTGGGGTCAACCATAAAATACGTGACGTAACTCCCTCCCCTGGTTGCACACTGGTTACGCTGGATGATGCTCCCTGGTTACCTTGTGTCAACGAATGGTTCTCATTTGAAGATATTTAGGTAAGCATCATATATGATCAAATAAGCTCACTTGTAATAATCGGTTTGCTTCAAATGTAAAATACTGCTCTGGACAGCATAATTTCTTTAGTTCATAAATATGTTCCTCAATACGTCATCTTTGATTGCATCATGGAACGTCTAGAAGGCGTAGATTCTTTAGTTCATAAATATGTTCCTCAATACGTCATCTTTGATTACGCCATGGAACGTCTAGAAGGCGTAGATTTGCAGCCAACTGGCCAGGTCAGAATTGCCAGTGTGGTAGACGGGCTGACACACTTGTAGTACTTCAACTTGTCGAGAGGTGGGGGTGGCTGCCGGCGCCTGTTTACTGAATTCGAATACCGTAATGTGCCCTTGTTTTGGCTCTTTGTCGTGGTCTTGTGGCATATTTGTCCGTGACTTTTTATTGCTTCCCTGCATTCACAAACTTAGTAATTGTGCTATTCCCAAGTTATAAAATGTTTTGTCTTATTTCAGTTATAACTAGTGCCACTGCCTACATTTCTGTATCATGCAGCAGAAAAAGTAATTCGTGTTCAAAGCTTGCGTTCCACGCACATTGGCTTGACTGGTTCAAGGCCAGCTGGTGTCCGTCGATGACATCAAGTGGGCTGCCATAGCCAGACAAGAATAATTCGTCGGAGTTTTTTTCTTGCGCTACATGACCATTGAGGTGGCGGTATTTGCGTGACGTTTATATGGCATTATGGCTGTCTCGGCGGCTTTGAAATAGGCTGCACGAAATAGCCTGCGCAAGTTTTCGGGAGTGAAGCTCAGAAAGAAGAGGCCTTTGGTCTTAAAAAGGGCATGGCTCCGAGCTGCACTGAAAAACCTTCACAGTGTTTCCATCTGTTCAAAAACCCATGCAAATGTGAAACACACCGTTCAATGGCAACGTCTCAAACTGTAACGAATTTTGGTCCCTAATTTAGCTAGAGGTACGACGCAAATAACGGTCGTCTTCACGCATAAGAGGAAGCCAACGAAATCCTGCTGAAAGGTTTAATTCATTTTAACTCTTAAGCGCGATTTTGAACCACACCTGAGTGTAAAGTCATACTGTCCAAAACCTCCCCTCCCTCCGTTGTCACGCTGTCGTTAATCTCGGCAAAGACCCCTCTCCCCCTCCGTGCGTGACGTAATTTGTGGACGACCCCTCATCCAGTCCTACCGGAAAGCACCATGCAACATTACACAAGTCGTGAGAATGGTATTTAATAGTGTATGCGCCACCTGAACAGCCCTCCGGGTAATGTAGTGGTAATTGCAGATCAGCTAACTTCGGGCTGTGCATTTTTCAGTAGCTCACTAGCCACGGTTCCATTTTGAATGTTCAAAAAGCACTGCTCCTGCAATTAAGCTAACTGCTTTCATTTTGACTTCTGTGAGTGGCTCTAACATTTGTGCATTAAAAACGATGAAAACCCCATTTGAGTGAACGCGTATTTGCGATCCGTGGAAAGGGTCGCTCTAACCTCAGGGTTAGGATCACCTTCACGTTCCTGCATCGACACCCCTCATTTGCCACCACCTGGTAGCAAATGCGCCAGTTTCGTCCCCATCCGATGATTGTGAGACTTTTCTTTCATTGTTTTCACATAGCCGGTAGTATTAGAGACTGGGGCTTTTTAATTTATGCCGCCACGTGTAGAGCTCAGCCCCGCTTGACGAATGCATAGCGTGGCGATCTGATAAGGCAGCATGGCTGTTCTGGCAACACGAGTTTCATGAGAAGGTGTGATGTGATGATGAGATAAGGGCTGCAAGCCCATATAATTATAATATTAAGTTGTGATACCGTTCACAAAAGGGAGAACATGCAGCTAGCTCACCAGCTGACAAAAACCTAAGGGGACCTAACCAACTTTACACAACAGGGCTGTAGGCTCCTATTCAGTTGGAGAACCTCTGGTCCCTCATTCCAACTTTGGCTGGAGCCCCACACCCAGCTTTGAGAAAAAGTGGATGAAATCCGTGGGGAAATCTGTCGGCCAAATTTGAGGTAAATTTGTCATTGTTCAGGCCACCCTCCAAATCATTTTGTGAAACCACACACCTACTATCCAGACTTAATAATGCCCATAGCACTCCATGAAGCAATCGCTACTCAAAATAAAATAAACAGCAGGCTACTAAGTCATCAGAATTACGTATTAGTTTGTGTGTTGGATATACATGCGTTTTAGTTTGACGTACTGTTTTGTTCGATGTGCATGCGTTTATGTTTAATGTACATGTTCTTTGTTTGGGGCTCATATATATATATATATATATATATATATATATATATATATATATATATGCATTTTCATCACACTTGTACTATGCCTAATCATTATTATTTATTCATGTTTTATCCCTGATGACTTGATAACGCACAGACCTTGATGCACGACAAACGAATCAACCCCACAGATCAGTGTAATGGCTTAACAGACCTTGCTTAAATGTACTCCGAAACAGAGACGTCAGAAATGATAGCAGTGTCCGGCAGAGACGTCAGAAATGATAGCAGCGTCCGGCTCAGGCTCAGGCTCTCGCGGAACACTCAAAGTCGGGTCGTGGCTCGTCGTGAGTTGCTCATGGTGCAACTGTTGGCAGCTCACTGGTCTGACAACGCAACTCATGTAGCTCGTCACGAGTTGCCCTGTCAGACCCTTCGCAATGTCTCTCCGTTTCTGCCGTGCGCCAGCTTCGCCCGTCCTTCACACAGAGAGCGTCGCAGCATCTCGCTCTGATCAATACGGCCTCTCCGCGCCGCCGGAGCCCGCGCTGCCAGCCAGCTGCGCGCGCCGCCGCCGCGTACTCGCGTACTACGGCCGCGCCGAGCGCGCGGGCAGTGTCGCCCGGGGCCTGCGGCGGTGTGGGACCGCGGCACGCACCCGCGGAGCGTCAGTGTCTGTCGACCGCTGGCGGGGGAGGGCGGCGGGGAGAGCGCGGGGTAACGCGGGGCCGGCCAAGGCGACATGATGCTGGTTAAGTGGTTGAAGGAGGTGCGGGCCCACCCGCCGCCCTGGCAGGGTGTGGTGGTGTGCGTGTGCGGCTTCCTGCTTGAGCTCTCGCTCGGGGCCATCTTCTCTTACGGTGAGACCTGTTGGTGGGCGGGCGTGTGTTGTGTGTCGTGGCGAAGTCCCTGGTGCAAGGGGGGGGGGGGGCAGTCACGACAGCAGCCGCTCGGGTGGTGTTCAGCCGCGCACCCGGCCCTCCGGCCGCCCCAGGCCAGGTGCCACCTTGACGGCGAGCAAGGACGGCCGGGCCTGAACGGACCGGCTGGCTGTTGCCACTGCAGCTACAATGCACGGTTTGCAAGGCCACTGCAGCGTAGCTTGCAAAATGGGCTTGGAGTATCACACGGCGTCGGTTATTCCCAGTACGTTTTGATCGGCAGTCCCGGACGTTCTCATGTCCGAGGACGTTTTGATGCGCAGTTCGCTAGTGCGGTAACTGCATTGCGCGCAGTTTTGTCCCATATTGAGATCTTGGGCGTGTCGTTCGCGCTTAAGGTGCGACGCTTTCAAAGCGTTTTCATGGGTAATACTGTGCAGAACAGGTGTTAACGCAACTACACGCATTCATGATCGTATCGCACACCTCATAATCAGGAAGCCCTGTCAGAACCGAGCACCGTCTCAGTCGTGGATGCCTGCAGCATACGCTTGCATCGTTATGCCGCCACGTGGCACCTACAAACACGTGGATCCCGTGTGTCAATCGCGCCGGAGCACGCCAGCCGGCGGAGTAATCTTGTGACGACCTCCATCACGGAACGACTCCAAAACAAGCGCAACAAAGAAATGCTTCGTTCTCACTCAGCGACGGTGCTGACTTTGAACACAGCCCGAATGTGAGGTTACCGATATGTGGACGCCGTTTATCGGAGGCGATCGGGAAACGTAGCCAACACGACACGCCGGACATGACAGACGAGTGCTCAGCGGTTGCAAGCATGCATTTCGCCTGAAGGTTGGTCGAAAGTCTTTTTTATTGCTACGTCATCGTCCCAAGCTCGGACGTGTCTCACTCTTAGTCCCTCTCCCTCGTTGCATCGTTCTCATTGCTCATTTCATTCCCATGCTTGGTGACGCTAAACCGCTTAGAAAGCGCAGCGACACCATCTGGCATAAATATATTAAGACATAAAGATACTAGCCGGCAAAAACCCCCGAGGGACCAGGGAGGCTGGTCTACCTCAGGTTCCGCACACATCCTCAAAACTAGTCTTACGGCCTGACCGGTCTGAATTTAGCTAAAAATGATATCTTTAGACCGATAGAACCTGCCCAAAGATTTTTAAACGCTGCTAGGGAGGGACTTCCTGCAACTTCGTTTAACAATCAATTCCAAGGATTCGCTGTTTTTTGACTTAATAACATCTGCCTTTTTACAGTTTTACTCCTACTTTTTGCTTAATGAAACCGATTTCCCCAAAGTCTCGGCCGAATTTCCAGTGTTCCATGTAGATCCACCTTATCTATTCCTTTCATAATATTGAATACTTCTTTCAGAATCCCTCTAAATCTACGGTATTTCAGTGAATGCAAATCCAAGGCACTAAGCCTATCCATATATTCTAAATCGCCAATCCCATTTATCATCCTGGGTGTTCTTGTTATACTCTTTCTAGCCTACCTACATCTTTTTGGAATAATGGGGACCAAAACTGTTCACAATACTCTAGGTGCGGTCGGACATAAGTGAAGTACATCTTTTTGACGGCATTTCTACTCTTGTAATCGACATTCCTTCTGATAAGTACCAGCATCTGAAGTGCCTTGCTCCTTCCTAGCAGCCCCACATTTTTACAACCTTAAACTCCCTGGGAATGGTAACTACTAAGTCCTTTTCTTCCTCGATCTGGTCTAACTCCCGGCCTCCCATTCTAAGCCTGATGCCCTTGCTGCCAAAACTACCCAAATGCATCACCTTATACTTGTCATAATTGAATGACGTCTATCGCAGGGAAGTACAGCTCACTTGTTTCCCTTAGTCAGGTTGAATTTGGTCCACTTGGTCGGTATTTTTTATACCCATACCAATTTGGTATCTTCAGCAACTTTTTGCGCCTTAATCCCATCCCAAGATTATTCACAAAAGCAATAAAAAGTAATCGGTCCAGCACCGACCGCTGTGAAACCCCACTCTCTACTGGCTCCCACCGACATTTTGTTTCGTTGAGCACTGCTCTTTGTTTTCTGTCTAGCGGCCAAGCCCTTACCCTGCCAAGAATGTTTCCTTCAACGTCATACCATTGTAATTGATGTAGCAGATGTTTGCATGACACCTTATCAAATGCCTTACTAAAACTAGATAGACATTATGGAAATGTTCGCCTTCATCTGTCGAACTAGAAGCATGCTCTGTGAACTCCTGAAAATTTTTTAGATAGGACCTACGAAAAAGAAAACCATGCTGACTGCCATGCGTCAAGCGATGCCCATTTAAGTGGGACTGAATGTTGGCCTCAATTAATATATCTGAGATCATACATACTGGTGAGGTTAGACTGACAGGCCCGTAGGTGCTGACACTTTTTTGGTCCTCTTCTCAAAAAGCTGCACTACATTCACGCTGCGCCGGTACTCGGGTACTTCTGAGAAACGCAATGACCTATAAGATGTTAAAATAAGAGGACAAGCTTAAGTACTAGCGCCTTCATTCAGCACTCTACCTTATATCAGGTCAGGTCCGGCCGCCCTATAAACCTTGATTTATTTCGAGCCATCCCTTACCCCACCCTTACTCACCGTCAAATCTACAGGACCGCCTTCATCCAGATTTTTCCTATTACCAGGAAGATCAAACATAGTCTCCTTTGTAAAAGCCAAAGAAACTGCTCACTAAGGGTATCTGAAATCAAATCAGATCTCTGTCCTCCGCCAGTGACTTTCCATCTTCCTTCAGCGGGCCGACGGAGGATCCCTTAGATCTAAATTTGTAGTAGCCAAAAAATTATAAGCGTCGTCAGCACAAGTGTCTGCCAGCCTTATTTCTGGTAAGCTTCTGACTACCATGCCCTCCTTCTTAAAGCTTTTTTTGTAACAATCCTATACGCTTCCGTGTTTCTTGCTGCACCCCGCACTTTTTTACATATCATGTGGCTATATCATGTCGCATGGGGGCTTCATAGAACTAAATATGTTATTTGAAAATAGCGTGGTCATGTTGGAACAAGTGAAGTGAAGTGTGAACACATCTATTTCCAATTTTCCGTAACAATCACCTCAATTCGGGACTGCCGCCTCACTTGGCGGCGATAAGCTGCGGAGTCGGAATTCGCTGTCCTCTCTCGTGCTCGAGGGCAATGCATTTCCCGTATAGCTGCTGAGAGGCAAGCCGCCATCAATTGTCAGGAATCGTAGCCTGGTTTTAGAGGAGTACACCGCTATCCAAAGAGATTGTTTAGTATCCCGGAATGCACTTCTTTGACATCAGTTTCTGAGGCATTCGTGGTTGCGTGAATCGTCATTTCAGCCTTTGATCAGGGCTTATGAAAACATTATTTGGTGCGAGACTGTGCGTGACTTCACCAGTCGCAACCGGGCGTTTACACACGCTTGAGTCACGTGCGACTAAGGAATGCAGCCAGGTACATTCCTCGGTCGTTGCGCAAATCGATGAAAGCTTTCTAAGTGCAGTAAATGCTTCGAAAAACCAATGGCTTCTACTTATCCTGTCATGCCATGATCTTTCAGAGACTGAGTTTCTTCGTAAATGTATCGTCCCTGGATCTAAGAAGATGATACGCTCCGCTCCGATGTGGCGGTACGGCCGGGTGCGTTGATGCTAGGGATTCATTTATAATCTTACGGTAGGGCAGGATTAGCACGAATGATCTAAGCTTAACCTCGCTCTTTGCAACACGTACGGGCTACTTTTAAATAGCGTATGGTGCTGCACAAGATCTCAGACATTAACCGATATGAGATATGGCGATCAAAGACGCAACGCATCGCCGCAAAGATGGATCAAGCAAATCAAAGTTCAAGCAAACCAACGGAACGCCGGAGCTGTCCACGCAAACACGAAAGCTGAGAAAAAACACGACAGGTCTTCAAATGAAATGTCTATTTGGGATCACCGAGTGTTCAGCTTTTGCATGGTGTGTTTCGTAGTTTGTTTACATTCCGTCTAGTTCCGCCGAACCGTCTATGCCTGGCCGGCCAGTCTGCGCCAATGGCCGGAATTTCAGACGCCCATTTCCGGCAGGATCTGTCACTGAATGGGATGATTGGTCAGTGATTGGATTGGAGGGGAGGGGGGGGGGGGGAGGTCGGCTGATCCGTTAGCTGAGCCAACACTGTGCTTTTGGTGCGATTCTCTTCGCGCAGCGTATGTATTTTAACGATACGTGAATCTTCTTAGGGGTGATCTGTCTGCGGTTCATTGCAGCGATAGCGCAGCGGTTAAGCTGCGTGTCCAGGAAGCCAGAGGTTCGGAGTTCGATTCCACGCGGCGTCCGCCATTCCAAACGGGACGAGAGACAGGCGACGCCATGTGGCCTCACCTGCTGAGTGCGTCGTGAAGCCCCAGTGACGGCGACCATTTGGAAGTCTGTCCGTGTCTGCTCCTGTACTTCTTGTGCTGCCAACGCTGGACGACTTTTGAAAAATCTTAGATGCCGAAGACACGTTTTTTATCGAGACGACCCCTTCGGATGTATTCAAGCAGTTACACTGGGATGAATCTGGAGAATGCTGGCTTCGGCAAAACAAAGCTTTTGAAATGTGCTGTGTTGACCCAGGCTAAGCGCTACAGTGTGTTTTGAGCAACATTTTCTGAACGTGATTCCGAAGTCCGCACCGAATCGAGCAGTACTGCAATAAATTTAACGTGCCAGCAAGATCACACTGTGACTTTCCGTGGTGGTGGCCTCCATTCGCCTCTAAAGTGACACGCCACCGGCGGTGCTCGGGCCCGAGAGGTCCTTCGCTGCGAGCTGCGATGTCTGCCTCCCTCTGGTGAGGTTTGCATCTCCCGAACCGGGACCGGGACATTAGGATCTGGGGGACCGGGATGGCCGGCCTGACCGGCGATCGATGTCAACAGCCCTCTATTGTGTCCGTTTTCAGTATTCGCACCCTGTTATTACCCTCCTGGCCGGAGGTCACTGGCTGCCGTTAAAAGCAGTGCGTGTTTGGTCATTGATCGTGCCAAACAAATTATTGGAAGTCGGTTGTTGGCGTAATGACAGGTCCCGGATGCTGTTTCCACGGATTTTTTTTTTTTGTCGGCTGCATTTGCTGTTCCGAGCGCGCCCAATGGGTCACCCTGAAAACTTTGTGTTTCCGAAAGACTCTTCCAGCTCCAGTTGAAGAGACTTAGCAACTGATGACGCTCATGGGCGTCTCTCTCCGCTTCTCGCTCGGGTCGGTCCGGTAACCCTCTGCGTGCTAAAAACGGAATTTGCCACTAGACCAAGGATTCCTAACAGATCTGAAGCGCTGGCAAGATCAACAGCTATCGAGCCTCTTCGCGCCCCGCCTTCACCAGTCTGCCGTCTACCGCCAGTTGTGACCCAGTTGACGACTTCTTCCTCAGGCAACCTGACCACCTACATGACGTCTTACATGCGGGACCGGGTGGACCCGACCATCGACTACCCGCAGCTGATGTGGGTAGCGGCCAGTCTCTCCTTCTTCGAGGGGCTCACTCTCTCGCTCGGCAGCTGGATGACGAACAGAATCGGCGCTCGGTGGACGGCTTTCATCGGCTGCAGCCTGGTCACGTGAGTGCCAGTCTACTCCCTCTGTGAAGAGCTTCAGTGCTGTTGAGTCCTTCCGGCCAGGCCACCCAAACAACGTGCACACGCTCTCGCGATCCGAGCCGTTCCGAAGGCTGTATTTGTAAGATATGGCTGCGGCTTATCCCCGTAATTATTAAATTACTTTAGCTGGGAAAATATATTCAAGTAAAATAACAAGAAGTTAAAAATAAAACATTAAAAATAAAGAAAAATTATTTAAAGATTAAATTACTTTAGCTGAGAAATATTGAGGCTTTCTTCCCGGTATGTTTGAAAAAAACGGCATGTGAAATAGCTAGTCTTTAATAAGATATGATATAATTTGTGCAAGATGTGGCTAATGCAGCTGGTCATAGCTGCAAATGATGTTGAGCGTCTACAGGGTCGCCCTTGGCTCTGCTGGCCGCGGAAGATGCGGCTTATGCAGCTGGTCATAGCTGCAAATGATGTTGAGCGTCGACAAGGTCGCCCTTGGCTCTGCTAGCCGTGCGCGGTAGCAGGAACCGTGCACCTGACATGGCTGTACAAGTTATCTGTAAAAAGGCTCACGTGAACGGTGCAAACCGACGGAAACCACACACCCGTGACATACCATCTCGATGGCAAGAGCACGTGACAGAGCCTTGCAGTCAATTTTTTATAAAAGGCTGGTACTTTTGACCTAGGAGCACGGGCACAATCGCTGAGATAAATTTGGTCGGATTCGGCGCGAAGGACAAATCCTGTCATAGCAACTGCGCTGGTTACAGGCCACAAATACCTAGTCACGGGTTAGCTGTGATAAAACACTACATATACGTCTCTTGCTAGTCGGTTTCTCCTTTGACTTGCGGCCATCGGTGAAAAGGACGAGTCGTAAGAATTCATTGATTTATTTTACAATGGAATACTAGCATCAAATGCCAACACCAAACTGCGCCCCGAAATCCTGTCATTGTAGATGCGGCATTTCGGCGGCCTTAAACGTACCAATCACATGCTTACATCAGTGAGATACATTTTTGCGGGATGAAGTGCGTGATTAGATATGCACGAGAGACCAGATGTAAACAACCCAGTTCTTAACGTGAGTTCTTGTGTTGATCTACTTTTTCCTGCTTGCACTATCAAATATTTCACGATTAAGGCACCTCGAGCGGCGTGGGCAAATGAGATGGTAGCGGCTGTGATAGTTATGAGTTGTCACCATGAGGATAGTGCTAAAGCTAAAGCGAAGAGGCTTGCCACCGTTGGTAGCCGACGCCATTGGGCTCCATTAAAGCGTCGGAAAGTCCACTGATCAAAAAGTTAAAAAGGCGAAGACATGATAAAGATTCGCGCGCGGGACCTGACGAACCACGACCGGGAAACTAACTCGCGCCCTGGCCGGGTTTGGCAACTTCACCCGAAGAAATCAGTCAAGTTAAGAACATGTACATGGTCGGAAGCTGTAACCAAAGCATTGTGGAAAACGCACATGTCATGGCTGGATGTCGGTCGCAAGGGACAAAGCTATGCGACAATACAGCTATCATGGCCTAATCTCTCTCGGCTCAGCCCACAGAGTCTTATATCTAGGACTGGGAGAGGGAAGGTGTTGGTTTGGACTGACGACATTGGCGAATTTTTCAGTCGTTTGCTGCACACCTTGCGCTTGGACGGTTTTGACTCCTGTTCACAAACTGCTGTCAGTGCATTCATTTGCGCTGTGCGAACGATTTCAAGCCTCCGTCTGCTCTGGTGACCAATGTCCGACATCGGTCTTCAAAACATGCCAAAATGGGCGAAGTCGTGGTGTCCGCCCGAGAGCGGGCGGCCGTCTGTCCTCATCGACTCACGCTTTTGCCAATATGACTCCGTTTTCCTTTACATCGGAATCTGCTTTTTCCGTATCCTTGCGACTCGTGACTGTTGATATCTGCGTCGGGTTCCGGTTGATGTTGTTGAGCCTTTTCTGGCCATGTGAGCTTTTTACGCTTTTTCGAATGGGAGCGAGGAAATTGGGATCATTTCACAGTATTGAAGGAAAAATGTGCCTGACAGGCAAATGACTGGCAGTTGTGCCACACATGCCAGAAAACATACGTAATCATATATATATATATATATATATATATATATATATATATATATATATATATAAATGTATTCATATTAAACATTTGTTAGACCAGACTTTCCCCAACATTATTATTCGTTTTCTCCTCCGTCTGAATCTGCCTGTCTCATGGCCATGACCTGATCAATGTCCTGACCTGACCTTGAGCTGACCCTGGCTGTGACCCCCAGGTCGGGCGTCTCGCTCTGCTACTTCGGCGTGCAGCATTCTGTGTGGCTGGTGGCGCTCCTTTTCGGCGTCATCAACGGCCTGGGCGTCGGCATTGCCTACGTGGTTCCCCTCATCTGCGGCATGTCGGTACGTCCATGTGCTTTTCAGCGCAACAGTACACTCAACGGCAAGTTAGGATATCAGCGGACGGGGATGGACGTTGGCACCTCGTTTATAGAGATGCCTTGACTCATTCCCCCCATTTCTGTTGCCAGCCATCTCCGTATTTGACAAAATCGTCCCCAAAGTCTCACAAACCTCTAAAAACGGTACAAACCTGCCTGTTTTGGTGTAAATCTGGTCTTCATGATGTATGATCCTCGAAACTCGGTCATCATAGCTCTAGGAAAAAGTCCTACTGGTTTTTGTGCGCTTCAAAAGAATCATACGAAGATTGCAAACATCGATCAGATGTTCGCAAACAAAGAATGTCGATGCGAACAGCCCCGCATGCTCGACTGTTGCGCTAAACGCGGGTGTCGTGGCGACTTCTGGCAAACCCAGCAACATCCGGCGACCCGGCAACATCCGGTCAGGTCCCCTCTCAAGCTTGTCCGTGTGGCGCCTGTGTTTTGCACCCTGTCTCGTGCGTTATGGTGGGCCGCGCGGTTGTTTTTAACTAGCGTTAGGTATCTCGTGTTTATACACTGTCTCTCTTCGCTTGTGATGACTGAAGCTAGACAGGCGGAGCGTAAAAAACACGATGTGCTTGCTGTTGCAGTCATTTTGGCTTTAGGAGGATGCAAATATATCATTTGTGAATATTTATCACGTGGTCTAATGGAGCCTGACTGGGTGAGGTATTTCAGTGTAGTTTGTTTACATTTGGGGGAGCTTTTTGCTGTCCGATATAGCCGTGCCTGCCTTATACCCTGTATTTACGCTTGTCCGTGCCCCACTGGTGCGGTCACACGTGCTTCCGTGGCTGGTTTCAGTGGTTTCCCACCTCGAAGGGGACATCGAACGGGTTCATCGTGGGCGGGTTCGGGCTCGGTGCTCTGGTGTTCAACTCGATACAGACGGCCTTTCTGAACCCGGACAACGTATCACCGGGGAAAGATAAGTACGTGAGGCCCGGGAACACCGGAGCACGGTCTGCCGAGTGCAGAGCACGGGAACACGGGACGTGGGAACACGGGACGCCGGGGCATATGATGCGGGAGCACATGATATGGTGTCTCGGGACGGACATTGGCGCACAGACAGTGAGAGCGCAGACAACCGGATAACAGACCACGGGAGCACAGAATGCGGGATCACAGGCTATACGGGCTACGGGAATACGGGATCCCGAGAACTCAGGACAGGTTTTTTTGACGGGCGTCGTACAGTGTGTGCTGGCTGGGAACAGCTGTATGTGGTGGTGGACTAGATTGATGTGGACAAGCTATGCGCAAAGTTTCGAAAAACATGCAGGTTTATATGTAGATATAGATATATATATATATATATATATATATATATATATATATATATATGCTTGTTTATTTTTAGCCCTAACCTCTCATCTGTTTCTAAATTATTATTTATTTCTATTTATCATCTTTTGTATTTGGGGAAGCGTTCTGTTTGGAACCATTTTACTTATCGGCTGGAGTCGTGTGTGACCCCTTGTTGCATGATTTTTTAATCGCGATCGTAACGTCTTGGAAGCCAATGCGGGAAGCGAAATCCGTGGTGTAGCTGTCGTGACCTAAGAGAAGACTGAATGAGAGAATGAGGCAAAGCTGTCATGTTACATTGATATATTCCCCATGTAGGTCCCTATGGGGCCCACAGACAGCGACCTATCTCGGAAACTGGTGCCACCAGGTTCCACTTCACTGGAATCGCCCCGGAGCTTAGTGTTTGAAATAGTATTTAGAATCGTAACCGGCCCAAAGCCGTCACGTGTTCCTCGGATTCGAATTCGAAATAAACCCTGTGCGCTGGGTCCACCACATGCGAAACCTATTCGCGCTCGCATGGGGTAACTCACTGCAGTCAGCTGCGCTGGCGCGAAATGAGGCACACATCTGGCGCGTGACCTGCGCACTCACGCCCCACTTTGTGCACCATTGTGTGGCACCGACCATCTGCGTGGATGTTGCGTAACACAGGCTCAATGAGTATCAGCTATGTTTGTGCAGGCGCCGAGGGTGCATTGTTAGTCTCTGCGGAACGATAACGCAATGTTGCACGTGTTATGCCACCACACCAGACTCCCGCTGCGTGGCAAGTCCTCCGCATTGGGAGTACCTTAGGGTGCCCCTAGCACTGCGGCAGTAGATGTCTGAATCGAAAAGCCCAAAGCTCTTTTTCAAATTGATGAAAAGCTGCCCACTCGGCTGCGTCACTCAATGCGGCAGTCAGCCGAGACCGACATCTGTGTTGGGATTTCGAGCTGGCCTGCCGCGGCACCAGGGCACGCTGACAACGGAATGTGGGGAGGGGAAGTCACGCTGTTTGGCAGCGATCACCAAAGCAGCGGACTTCATCCGTCATTAGGTGTGCAATTCGTAGGTGATAAACAGAGAAAGCAGACTGAATCAAACCAAGCTGTAGGCACGCATCCGCACAGGGTGACGATCAAACAGAGATGGCAGAACGATCCAAAACCTGGATGAGGGACACTTAAGGTCAACTCTTTTCACGAATTACACAAGGGTTAAGGCCGTTAGTCATAAAAAGTGGCGACAACACCCCTTCACCTCCCCTCCTGCTTCCACGGCCACAAGAGCAGAGTGGCTCGCACCATCCCTACGTGCAGCGTAGCTCGCACCATCCCTATGTGCAGCGTAGCTCGCATCATCCCTACGTGCAGCATAGCTCGCACCATCCGTACGTGCAGCGTATCTCGCATCATCCCTACGTGCAGCGTAGCTCGCACCATCCCTACGTGCAGCGTAGTTCACATCATCCCCACGGGTAGCGTAGCTTGCATCATCCCCAAGGGTAGCGTAGCTCGCATCATCCCCACGGCAGCGTAGCTCGCATCATCCCCACGGCAGCGTAGCTCGCATCATCCCCGGGTAGCGTAGCTTGCATCATCCCCATGAGTAGCGTAGCTCGCATCATCCCCACGGCAGCGTAGCTCGCATCATCCCCGGGTAGCGTAGCTTGCATCATCCCCAAGAGTAGCGTAGCTCGCATCATCCCCGGGCAGCGTAGCTCGCATCATCCCCACGGCAGCGTAGCTCGCATCATCCCCGGGTAGCGTAGCTTGCATCATCCCCAAGAGTAGCGTAGCTCGCATCATCCCCACGGCAGCGTAGCTCGCATCATCCCCGGGTAGCGTAGCTTGCATCATCCCCAAGAGTAGCGTAGCTCGCATCATCCCCACGGCAGCGTAGCTCGCATCATCCCCGGGCAGCGGGTTGCCGTCGCGGGACCAGGGGTGACCGCCGTGAGGCGTCGTCACGCGCTATGCATGCAGTATGCATGCTCACGTCTCCAAGTCACCTAATTTACATCTATTGCGTCTCAACGCGGTCCGTCTGCAGCCCCATGAGCTAGCGTTTTCTTTTGAGCAGTCATCTTACCCGCATTTAGTTGGAGGCGTGCACAGCAGGTGCAAACGGCGTGTTGTAGTGGGTTGAAAGACTGTTGAGCAAAACGCTGTACCTGTCGCCACCTGGTCCTGCGCTCACGCACACTCTACCTATGCCTCCGGCAGCTGGCGCCTGCTTCCAGTACGGTCGCTGCTTGACAATGCGCAGTCCACGCCCCCGTCCCCCCCCCTCCCCCCGAGTTTTGTCGGTCGAGTTTTGCAGCGACGCCAAGGGCAATATGCCGTTAAAAGGGTGCTTTAAAAACGTAAAGGGTGCCCTGCGCGCCGCAAGATCTCGAACGCCGCGGCCCCATCTGACATCGGCCGCGCCGTGCCGCAGCTACTTCACGGACCAGGCGCTGCTGGACAAGGTGCCGTACGTGTTCCTGCTGACAGGCGGCATCTACGTCGGCCTGCAGACGGTGGCCATCGCTGGCATGCTCCGACGCCGGGTGACGCAGACGGACGCGGACGGCATCGACGTACCCGCGGCCGTGGAGATGCAGGTGGGCAGACACCGCCAGTGCGGCGGGCTGATCGAGTGACCTGCTCCCATAGTTCCCCGTGGGAGAACAGCGCACACCGTGAGCAGGGAAGGAAAGCGGAGGGAAGGGGAGAAGAGCATCAATCAGCCCGACGCGGTACTCTATTGGCTGGGCGTTGTCGGTGCCCGTTCGTCCGCCCATTCGCTCCCCTCCAGGCGCTCCCCTCCGCTCCCCCTTCTCCCGTTCTCTTCCCCGGTCCGTCCTCCTCCTCCCCCGTGACCGCTTGCCAGCAGAGCACGGCGCGCGGCCACGTTACGCTGGCGCGCCGTCGGTCGGGCGGATCCATCTCCGCTGTCCCGGGCGAGTCGGGGCCGCGCTCTGACCCGGATAGGCCACGCGCTGTCAGCAGTCACGTGATCAGACTCGCCCTCTCCGGAGGGACATATGGTCCAGACGCGCCCGCGCCTCCCTCGCACGAGCATGACCTTTATTAACAAACCATAGATTTTCAGAGAGAGCAGAGGATATTTGAATGACGTCAACTTTCTCTTTTGTTATATTTACGTTACCTGCGGCAGATTACCTGAACTTTCTAATCGCTCCTGATTGGCCAAGAGATAAGCGTGAGCGACCGGTCACGTGATCAGACCAACGCCGTAAGCCGTGTGTTCCGACACGCACACGCATGACACGCCACGTGTAGCTGCTTTCCTCTGACATCGAGGAGTGCCTCCTTGATTTCACTCACCAACACTTCGCTGCCAGGAGGAACCAATACTGCGCTGTCATGAGGGCTAACATGCTTTTGCTATAAGATCCAACGCTCGTTTGTCACAAGGAGCCAATACGCCTTTGTCATAAGGGCCAACACTCATTTGTCGTAAGAGCCAACACTCCATGAGAAGCCAACGCTCCGCCGTCATAAGATCCGACGCTCATTTGTCGTAAGGAGCCAACACTCCTTTTTCTTAAGAGCCAACACTCCTTTATTGTAAGAGCTGACACTCTTTGCGATAAGGAGCCAACACTCCTTTGTCACAAGGAGTGCTGTTACCCTTTTGTCTAATAGGGAGCCAACAGTCCATCTTCCTAGGAAGCGAACACTCCGTTGTCATACTGCGCCAACACTCCTTTTCCACAATGGTCCAACACTCTGCTATCGTAAGGAGCCAACATTCCACCGCCATAGGGAGCCGGCGCTCCGTGGTTATGCCGCACTGAACGCAAGCAATCGCCTCCTGGTTTTACATCGATCTGTGGTGCCTTTTCTTTTTCTTGGAAATCGCTGAGCACGGACAAAGTCGAAACTTCAGCTGGCGCCTTGTGTCATGCTATGATCATTGGGCGCGCATGAGGGCATGGGTGAAACAAAAACCAGGCGTCCGCGTATCGTCTGCATCTTCCGTCCGTCACACATCCGTAGGGTAGATATGTACACTGGCTTTTGTTTTGTTGCTCTATGATACTTGTGAGAACGTCCAGGGGTGGTAAAACTTGCGGACTTGGTAGGTGACATTAGCGACAAAAATATCTGTTTTACGCGACGCTTGGTGCCAAAAATGCTTTTGACCAACAGTCTTAATGCCGGCCATGACAAAGAATACGCACGAACCTTACATGGGGCTTGAATGGGAATACATCTCATCCCAAAATATCAGCAAGTCTTTCCGCAAAGACCTTTTACCGTACTCTACGGCACAAATATATTTTTAGACTCCACGCCAACCCGGCGACGAAAATATCCCATCGTTCTTAGTTCGTCTTTCGCTTTGATGACTGGTCGGTGACAAATCCATGTATTTCCTGCGGCCCGAACGTTCGGCTAATGCGGTGTTTTTACCACCCAACTTTCAGTGTCCCAAACTAGGCAGCGGAACATACTGAAAAGGGGCGATATGGCGTTTCATCTGGTCGCAAGGAGACATTTCAATCATCGCGAAGCAGCTGATATATGTGAGATTGGCGGTCAGGGGGCAAGATACCGATTTTCTGACTTTTTGTGGTGTAAAATGTTGTGTAATTTGCTCACCAAGAAGTAAAAAAACGTCAAGTGCGTAGGCGAAATATATGCTAATGACTGTTTATGAACATATATATTTCCCTTTGATAATTATTGCACAAGTACTGCAATAACTATTTACTTGTATTCCGTCCACCAGCTGCTTCACTACGTCATCGATGGCGAACAGCTCCATTCCACACGATTTCCCGAGTCGAAGTTCGTTTCAGACTGGGCGGTCACATGGTGCAGGCCAAGAATCTCGCCGCTCGCATTGCGGAGGCCACTTCGCAGGCTATTTCTGTAGCTGGTCCTGTTCCACGCCAATTACACCTCCAATCAGAGCAGGGATCGTTGGCCAGCACTCACGCTCTGCGAAGTGCTGGCTGGTTGCGCTGGAAGTCGTGTCGTACGGAATCGCACTTGGCAAATAACGCAGATTATGAACGTGGGAGTGTGGGCTTACTGTCGAATCTTCAGCGTTTTAGTTGCTTTTTAGTCGGACGTTCAAGTAGCTGAGGCGCAACGTTTGGACGAGCGCTGACATTGATGTGTACTCACGATGTTTTGCATTCAAGCGATGTGGTGACCTCTATCTTATCGAGCCCTTCAGGTGCTGCCAAATCTTTCCTTTCAGCTTGCATTTTGATGAGACTGTGTTGACAACACGATGAACCATGCTGGAAAGTTCGACGCGCAGTGCACCCCAATAATGGTATTTTAAAATGAACAGGGCTTCAGCTATCCATCAGAGCTTTTAAAGAACGGAGACAAACTTCTTTGTCAAATGCTATGGACATTGAATGCCTCAATAACGTTTTTGTTCGTAAAAACTTGGTGGAAAACGTACACTTAAGCATACCTTAATTAGGTTGTAAAACTTTCATGCCATCTGAAGTTCTAGAATCTAAAAATTTTACTGTCAATTCACGTTAGGACGTGTTTTATTACTCCAACCATGGGATACTACTGATCTATTTTACACCCATCAAGCCATAGATGACGAATGAGGATCACGGAGAAAAACGGAGCTGATGGAGGTTGCATTAGAACCAAAGGCGTGCTTGATCGGAGCCACGCACTGATCATGTGGCTTGCAGCGTGATGGTCTACCAGAAAAGCTTCGTGTGGTAACCGAATAGCCCAAGGCAAACACTGCCTTGCGTCTGGCAGTTCTCTGGCCCAGTCAGTGGCCGGCACAATCTGGTGTTAAATTTCAGGTCGCGGATAGTCGCATCAAGACCCCATGCCGGGAGTCCTGCCTCCTCCCGCAGGCCCCCTCGCTCCAGGCCCCGTCGCCCTACTCTCCCCCATCCCCACCCGCAGCCCCTGTCCTGTACAGCTCGAGATGCCGACGGAGATTCGTTTTTTTCCGTTTTGGCGATGGCTTCTTCCGAGCCCATGCCCGTCGGTCGCGTTGTAGGGCACACGTCTGGATCCGCGTCTGGCGGCTCCGCTCGCGACCGCTCGCATCACTACAAGAGGAGCGCATGACGCACGGCAGGCACGCTTCTCCCGCGTCGCTGGATAGCGGTCAAGATCCGCGGACTATGACGTCATAGCGGAGCGCGCTGCCAGGCTGCCACGGGTGTTTTTTTTCTGTCACCCGAAGCTCCGGAAAACCACGCGCACCGGACAGGACAGCGTCCAAACAGGCTTTGTCAACACCCGTACGGCCCCGCGCAGCTCTCGGCGGTGGGAAGTCCGCTCCGCCCGGCCGTGCCCGGTGGCGCGCCTCAGATGCGGTGTCAGCGCCTGCCTCGCGCGGTTCGTCAGCGAAGAGCTGGGCGCCGCCGCCTCCGGCGCTGCGCTGATGGATGAGGTGATCGATGGTCAGCTCCCAACGGCGGGGAATCCCGGCGGGTGCCGCCCCGGCGCCGAAAGCACTGGATTTCCGGCGTGCGGGGCGGCCTCGCGTGATCAGTCCACCAGGCGGCATGATTGTGCCGACCGGCAGCGTGACAGAGCTGGCGCCGGTCGGACTCAGTCGGCACCCGGCCGGGGTGTGGCATCGCATGCCCGATAGGGTGCGACATTGCACGCAGAGGTGTGAAATGCGAGGGTCATGGGGCATGTGATGCGATATTTGGCGTTGGTAACTGTAATACCCGAGGCTTTGTGATGTTACCTATCCCGATAGCTCAGATGGTCTTGGTGCCTGCATGCCGATTCACACACCTGTAGTGGGATGGGTTCGAATCGCGTTTTGCCCTGCCAGGCATGGCCTGTGGTCGTCGGCGGCGGCCGCGCTAGAGGGTCAGGCGACGGCAGGGTGCAGGACGGACGGTGTCGCCAGGCTTCGCAGCACGATAAACTACCGCCAACAATACTGTCGTTGACCTGGAATTTTACGATCGAATAATAGCGGTTAGGGCTCCCACAACAAGCACTGTTTAGCGTGAGCTCTAATCGTGGAAATCCACCCATTCCAAATGTCCGGATTGAACCTTTAAACAATTATACGCAGAGACTGTGCGATATACACCCGAGGTTTTGCAGCGCGTAAACTGTATGCCCGCGGTAGCATCGGACTCGGACGACGGCCACTCGGGCATCGGACCAAGGGCACGCTCAATTGCTGCGTTATTGCAGTTCCATGCAAGCGATGAATAAATAGTGATGCCCCGGAACTCCAATTAAGCACGCGTCATTCCATCCATGTTTACGTTAGGTTGTGCCGCGGCTGTGATCTGAGAGAAGGGAGCATGTTTAATTTACGCGGCAGATTGGTGAAGAGCCTCGGCTGGCCAGTTCACGCGCCATGATATGATAAATATCTGGAGATCCCGGTCTGTCGGATGCTCCTGTTTCTCTGCCGGCCTGCTTCATATTACCTCTCGTACCGCACTGTAAATATTAATGGTTGAGCGAACATGTTCGACCGCGCAAGCCCAGACGGATTTGGGCTCGCAACGAAAACACGACATGGCTTTCTCACATAACGCGTCCGAAGGCTCGTGCGAGATAAGCGAAATGAAATGCCGCACTTTACATGACATGTCGAAATGCGTAAAAGTATAGAAGAGAGGCTGTCTTTCCCAGTCGGCATGTGGCAGTTTCTCTTTAACTTCGCCACAACGAAGAATCCACATCCGCGCAGAATATTCTTAATCGACACCGCGCAGCGAATGACGATGAGCAGTACCATGGCTGGTGGAGGCGACTAACACGATGAACAACTGTCAACCAATGAGACTGAACGAGACGTCTAATGCAGTGTTATCGCTGCCTGATCGAAACATCATCCCATGGCTGCGACCGAGAATTTTCCCCTCAGAACAAGGGGATCAGTGCACTTTTGGGTAAATGTCTTTGGTGTGTGTCACAAGGTAATCTTTTTAGCTCCCGAGGGAGGGGGAGGGGGCTTGGAGCCAAGACCTCATTCCTACAGGATCTCCATGCGTGCCGGGGTGCTAATGTTTTTTGGAGATGGTTCACCTGGGTGTCTTCATATGCGAGAAATAGGATAAACGTGCGCAATGAATTTGCCGCCACATAACAGAAAGTGGTATTGCCACTGGCGGCAAATGCTGCTGCAACATTGTTGTGGCGAGGCCGCCAGAGCGGCAATCTTTCCATGGTTAAATTATCAAATTGTAGTTTTTTCAATGGCAATTAGTGTCATCACTGTCATACATGTGTCACCGCGCAAGCCGCCCACGGGCGGGGCCGGTGCGCCGCGGCACACTTCTGGCGTCTGCACGGGACAAGGCTGCCGTCGCCGAGAGGCGGCCCAGGTCGTGAGCTGGTTCTGACGGGGCGAAGAGGGTAGTCCGGATCTGATGATCCGGTTCACCCGAGATCCGGATATTGTGCTTTGGTTGGGATGACCCGGGTGTAATGACCCGGATCGAATGGCTCGTGCGGGATGACCGGATCTGATGGGTCGTGACCTTGCCCCGGATCTGATGATCCGATCTCTTGTCCCGAAGCAATGCCCCGGATGTAATGACCGGTACCAGGTGATCCGAACCATTGATCCGGATCTGGTGACCAGGGAAATTGCCCAGGATCTGATGAGCAGGACCTGATGACCTGGATCTGATGACACAGATCCGATGACCCGAATGCGATGACATGTATTTGGTGGCATGGATCTGAAGATCCGGATCTGGGACCCAGATCTGACGTTCTGGATCTGATGACCCGGATCTCGATAGCCATGCGCGGCGCGCCTCTCCTCCCCCTCCTATTCGCAGAGTCCTGCGTGGGAACTGATCGACACGGACGCCTGTGCTACCGCTCCGTGTTGTTGGCGCGGATCCTGTATATGGGATATCCTTAGTAGGGCGTGAATTAAACCGCTACCTTGCGGATCTCACGTGGCATTGAAAGCGGCGCCGACCTAAATCAGCAGGTGGTTTGTCAGTGGAACCTGTCTTTGGTAGCCGTGCTGATCAACACCCCAGGCGTTGTTTCGTTTGAGGCTCCGTGGGCATTGCGTTCTCCTCGTCATTTCTTACACGTTGATCTGCAGAGCGCGGTCGCGGAGACGCTGGACGACAGCGTTGAGGAGGGCGGCGCCGCCGACTACAACAGCAGCCTGACGCTGCGACAGGCGGTGCGCACGCTGCCCTTCTGGATGCTGTTTCTCACCTACCTCTGCAACAACCTCTGCATTGGCTTCATCAACCCGCTGTGGAAGACTTTCGGACAGAAGTTTATCCGTGAGTGTTGGCAGCCCGTGGCTTTGTCTGCTTAGCTTCGTAACCCGTGCTGAGATGTACATAATGTACATACGCTAGGACTGTAGCGGTAGGCGCGAAAGGAAAACATCATGGCCGAGCTTACTCCTTACGTGTTGCTTTGTTTGCATGGAAAGACTCGATTTTATCGGTCGTTGCGTTGTTTCCACTATACCTTGGAGTATCGAAGGCGAGGTGGCATTGTTGATTTAATCATGCTCCACTGCCAACGAACATTGCGAAGTGCCTAATTTTTCCTCTTTAGTTTACTACACATTTCAGTTTCATACACACGGACGAACAGCGAGCTTTTAAATAAGTTGCATGTTCTTACAATTTCTTTTTTGCATTTTCTTAGGTTTTTTTTACTCCTAATACTTTCTACTCTAATACATAATCGAAACGATGTAGCGCGAGCACCGTACTTTAACGGGGACATTTGGTCATGAATCGTGGCCACGGCACATTTCCTATACACGATCTGTCGACACAACACGCCACATCCGGGCCAAGTGTGTAGCTGGCGTGTCCAGCAGTGCAGCGGGTTGTTATCAGAGACAGCGGATTAGGCGATCCGGATTGTAGAAAAGTTTATTGGCCCCGTTTCGAAAGCAGCCTGGCTGTTTGTAACATATGTGAAGACAGTTACCCTAGTCAGTTAGCTAAGGTACCGTACACTGAAGCTCTTCATAGTCAGCTCAGCTATTTTCTTCAGGTGCATAGCTTTACGCATGCATTAATCCATGCACAAAAGCTCTGAACTGATATATTCTCCGGACCCGTCTGGACCTGTAGCGAGTATATCTGCTCGTCGGCATCAGCCTGTTACGTCTGCGTTATCGTCACGTGACTAACGCACACACAGACGCACACGCACACGCACACTCACCTACGCACGCACACCACGCACACGCCGCACGCGCACGCGCACACGCACGTGGCGTGGTACCACGCCGCCCGACAGCTGGCAACGCAAGTGGCCGCCGCTGTTCACAGTTGCAGCGAGACCCACTGCCCAGTGGCGTAGCCAGGATTTCAGCCACGAGGGGTCCACGTTGGGACGTAGGTGTGGGTCTTTCAGCCAAGTTTGCCCACTTCGTCGTTGTAGTGGCGCTGTTCTTTTTTAATTATGGGTGGCTTTCGAGGTTGAGCTCTCATTTTAATGCCTCGAGAGCCCGTTTCGCGATGTTTTAGAAGCCATTCGGACTCTTAAATTGTCGAAAAATACTGGGTATTTTGGCCGCAAGGGGTCCTTGCTATCTCAAGGGGGAGTGTGGGGATGGAGGTTATCAAAGGCTTTCTCGTGCAAGATGTCCCTTACCCCTCCCTCCCGCCCCCGCTACTCATCAGTCCGTGCCCGGACCGCGCCCCACTTATTTATTATTAGTGGTATTCACCCCTTACACACCCACGTTTGCATTTCACAGCATTTTCTCTGAACTTAAAATATGAAAGCGTTTGAGGAAAATGTACGCCCCAATTTACTCTTTTGCGTTTATAAGTGCAAGACTGGTGTGAATAGAACTAATTTTGACTAAAGAAGCGCAAACAGTGGCATTGTGCAACATGTCCGTAACCACGTGCACAACATTTTGTAACATTCTACTCGCGCCGTTACCCATATACGTAGTTTTCCCAAATATGTACCCTAACCGACCCGGTACCCACCCCTTGTGGGTGCCAATGGGCTTACCCATTCCGTGAAGTCCTCGAGGGGTCACAGACGTATTCCGCGTGCTCACCGTGATTTGGGGCACAAATACGGTCGGCAGCCAATTTCCAACTCGTGACCAACGATGAATTACGTGGCCTGAGCACCTGACCCGGGCTCACCCGGCAAGGGCGGCACGTGGGTGCCGCCACCCGGAGTACACGAGATGACCACGCTGGCTCACCTGCGAGGGCGGCACGGGGGTGCCGTCACCCGGAGTTCACGAGATGACCACGCTGGCTCACCTGCGAGGGCGGCACGTGGGTACTGCCACCCGGAGCACACGAGATGACCACGCTGGCTCACCTGCGAGGGCGGCACGTGGGTACTGCCACCCGGAGCACACGAGATGACCACGCTGGCTCACCTGCGAGGGCGGCACGTGGGTACCGCCACCCGGAGCACACGAGATGACCACGCTGGCTCACCTGCGGGGGCCGCGGCCCTAAGCTAATTTGGGAATCGGCGGCGTAGATGTCGTAACCTCTCGCACCGACTGCCGTGGTGTTGCAAATGAAGTATCTTGAAATGTGTGCAACTGGGGCTCGGTCTTCATGGCTTAAAATTCATCATAATCGGCACAGTCCTTGCGATTATCAACAGGGATTTGTGATGCCGGTTAGCAGTAACCACTGGTAGAATAAAACTGCGCATTAAGATGCAGTGGTGATGTTGGACGGCAGCAGATCGCTCTCATCTCTCATTACGGTTTGCTTCATTTGAAATACTTCGTCCACGTTCGCTGAAAACAACGGTCACGCGGTAGCTTATCGCTGAGCTGTTTAAAGCGTTTCACATGCCATAATGGTGCTTTTGAGTGCCACAAATCAGCTGATGAAGAAAAGCACACCCGTAGGCACGTGCGGCTGTCGACGACACACCGTGTTTTGGATCACGGAGTTTATTGATCGGGGGCTCCGAATCCTGCGAAACGTGCCACCATTTTACTAGTTCCATCGTGGCAACAAGCGCGATTGGCTGCGATGCTGCTAACCAAGTGACGACGCGTCCATAAATAATCAAACGATTATCGCGCCCTCATCAGGGTGCGTCGTCGGCTCGTGCGTACTTGGCCCAGTTCGTCCTCGCTTGGACAATCAGAAGCTGTCGCCCCCCCCCCCCCCCCCCCACACACACACGCCCGTGCTTCGAGGGAGCGGTATGACGCCGGGCGCGGCGCCGGGCGAAGGGATTCGAGACGAGAGTTGAATCAACCAGGTGCAGACCTGAACGACCGACCTCCTGCGCATGCGCGACAGCTGAAATAATGACTACGCCGCACATGCGGAGTCGCTCGCGGCGCGTTCGACCACGCGCTTCGACGGACCCTGTCGGCCCGCCGCGCCGTTACGTAAGGCGTGCGCAAAGGGTGCCATTGCCAGTGGTCCCCGGTGCCAGGCGCTCCTCTGCCGGCTTACATAACAGCCAGACCCGGTGCCATGAGAAACACGGCCGCGCCGCTGCAGACGGCGGCCGTGAATCAGCAGCGAGATAATCGTTTTACGTGTAGCCGACGCGGGCCCGGCCTCCGCTGCCAAAGAAAAGAGGGCACGTGGACCGTGGCCTCATGCCCCGCCTGCCCTGCATTCTCCTCCGGCGCCTTGGCTAGGTCTACCTGGGAGGCGATGAGTGTGGGCCGTGCCCCCCCCCCCCCCCCCGACAGCTCCCCTCGCAAGAGCAGGAAGAGGGCGCTTGCGGTAGCCGCTGTTTTGTAGAGGACGTGCTGTAGATGCTGAGTTTGGGGAGTGCTGGCAGATGCCATTCTCTCTGGTATCCCACGCATCCCCGCAAAGGCCAGGATCTAGACGCATTCTAACGGAAGATCAGAGGTAGAGCTTGGAAGTTTCTACGACGAATTTTCCTTTGGGCCGACACTCAGCATGCCTGACCTTGGACACACTGGTTTTGGACCCAGTCACATACCCCCTCCGGCAGGTGCCTTACGCCAGTTCCCAGCCGGTGAATACGGGATGGTATACAGTACCCACTCCATTCCGCCGGTCTAGACAGGACACCACGGCGTTTCAGAACCGAGCTGCTGGCCAGGTACTCCTCCGCCGAAGTCTGCATCTAGACATTGAGACGTGCATCGGCTTGGCCCCACTTCAGTGTATATTACCGACCCGTTCGACAGCACGTGCAGAGAAAATAAATAATGATGGAAAGTTCCAGCAGTGTACACATCGCAGAGTTTAAGTTTCAGTGGGAAGGATTACATAACGCCGGAAGGTATGTATAGCGGTGTCGTCTCTGGCTTAGTGCTGCGGCTTCCATGACCCCGCCCCCATTACGTAACATGCGCATCTCGCTTGCGTAAAATACTTAAATCACCAACAAACCTACTCTAGCTCTCCCCCCCCCCCCTTGCGCCGAACCTTCATCGCGCCGGCTGCAGGAAGAAGCGTGCTCCCATCTGGAAGCGAACACCCGAGCCCGCCGCCAAGCCCGTCACGCCACCGGCGGGGCGCGCCGGCGACGACCGTGGACCGCCCGGGCCGGTGGGGGTGCCACCCCGGCCCGAACGCAGACATCGACCGCCGCACTATTGCACGGTGCGCAGTAGTGCGTGGCGCGAGTCTCGAGGGGCGACAGGGGGGGGGGGGGGGGGGTGCTGCGTAACGCGGACGACGGCGTCTCCACCGGTGCCGGTACCGGGGGCTGCGCGGCGTCCGCGAACGCGCTGGGGAGAGGGCCCACGCGGCACTCGAGACACCTGGCGGGGTGGAGGGTAATGGCGCTGCGAGGAAATCGCTGCTTGCGTGTGCGCAGTGTTCGTTGTGGCTGTGAAAGCTGGGTAAGAAGCTTTACCTTTTCCACCGATTAATTGCAGATTTTTGTTATGGCAATAATGCAGTTATCGGAACGAAAAGTATTGCCTTATCTTTTATTTCGATATTTGAGGAAGGGCTAGATGGAGTAGTAGTGTCAAGGACGAATACATTGCTCGATCTAGTGCGTTAGCACATGCACAGCGTTATGCCACGTTGTCCTTCTCGGTGAGCGGTGCCGATAGGGTAGTGGCCAGCCGCGCGTCTGGGAAACCACACAGGGGTACGGGGTTCGATTCCGCGCAATGCCCGCTCTTCCTGCTAGGGTGACAGGCAGACGACGTCATGGAGCCTCAGTATCTCAGTGGGTCGTAATGCTTAATAGAGCTAACTGACTCTCAGTTAGCTTATTTGGTGGAGCGCTGGAATCGCAATTATGGGCGCAAAATGACCTCAGAAGTTGGCGCGCGCTTCATTGCCCGCCCGACACCATTTATAAGTGT